CATCAGTGTATAGAGGGTCCTTAATTCAGATGACTTACTTATTTTATATACTGCTTGAAAATTAGGGAACTATTTCGTTTTAGTGAACAACTTTCCTCCCTTATCGATTCTAAAAATAATAAGAGGTATGTACCCATAAGATAGGATGTTGTAAGACGCAACTTGATTGTGTTTTGCATTTGAGTATGTGGTCCCGAGAGTAGATATCCAATTTTAGAACTTACAGCAGTTGCTTCAGTCCCCGTTTATGTCATTTCCAACAATGTCCCACTAGTGATCAACGCCGATAAGTAAACATCAAATGTCGATCCATCATAGGAGTGTGTTAACTTCAAATGTTCTAGGTAAGGGAAGTTCCTGATAGGTACATGATGTCTATGGATTTTGGCTGCAATACATGGTACAACAACTACATGAATCTGAATTTTTTCGCCAGAATCTTCAATCAAAAATGAAGCTGAGGTTTTCAGAGGTCGGATCATTTCTTTCCCACAAAATGCTGCAATCATCAGAGTTTCAGCTGCAGTTTATTTCAAGTTCAGATTTTGTGCTAGTTCTGTAATGAATGACCTCTGTGATCCCTCATCAAATAGGATAGTTGTGTCCATGACTTTTTCTCCGACCGTAGCCTTGGTTGTCGCTGTTTTAAGTATTTTTGGAATATTTGTCATTGAAGATGTATGTAGAGTTGTTGAAAACTGGATATTTTCAGATGTGACATGAAATTTTGATTCATGTATTGTTTTCCATGAGTCATTGCGTTTCCCACACTTTTTGCAGTTTGTCTTTGAAGGACAGTCCTTGGCTCAATGTTATCCAAGACAATTGAAGCATAATGACTTCTGCTTCACAATCATTTTCATTTGTTCACTGGTTTAGGTTCAGTTGCCTCCCATGTGATTTTTATCATCACAGAATACACAGGATTTGCTTTGGTTCTCGCGTTCATCACGGGTTTCAGACTTACGCTTGGGTTGGAAAAATTGCTGTCTCCTGTTGTTAATTGGCTTTCCCTTAAAAGCCTTTGTAATAAAATTTGCTGTTCTCTGAAATGTCGAGTCCATAGAATACTAATCTGCATCAGTGTTTGATCTAGCTTCAAGAATTGACAGCTCAACATCTCGTAAGGCATTCCGGAGATCACCAAGTGTCCAGTCATCGCTTCCATGGGTTCTTGCTAAGTTCTGTTTTGTTTTTTATGACAGTTTTTTCAAAACTACTGGTACCAAGAAGCTTCCATAGCACTCTTCAGTCTGGGTCAGGGTTTCTAATCCCTGGACATACGTTTTCATTTTGTCAAAAATTCCCCAAAACTGCGTAAGGTATCAAGTAGTTCAGGTAGGTCTAGTTATGCTTGCGCATAAATTCGAGTAATCTTGTGTGGCTGCCCATACCTCTCCTTCAGTATATCAATGGCCTTGGCATAATTGGCATTGGTAAGAGCTAATCCTTCTAAGACAAGTAACGCCTCGCCCATGAGCAGTGATTTCAAATAATTAAACTTCTGAACATCACTTAAACTGATATTTTCATGAATCCCAGAACAAAGCGAATCCCAAAATGATTGCCATTTTAATTTGTTTCCATTGAACGTTGGTAAGGATAACTTAGGTAGCTTATGGTTGGAAGAAGCAGATAAATTTTCTGACGCATTTACACAGGGAAATGGTCGTGTACAGGTGGGACAGCATAACTAGGGATTGTCGTATGATCAGATGGAATTTGATTTATTTCATGATGATTTAATACAGTACTTTCATCATTTGACTTAAGAAAATCTTTCTCCCCAGTTACATTTGCAAATTTTTTGTCAATACACTCTTTAAAATGCCTCAGACTAATATCTAACTCTGTATCATACTCACCTGTCAATATAATTTCCTTCTCTATCTCCTCCTCCTCTGTTGTTTGATTCCGTATTCGTCCAAATTGTCCATTAATTTCCTCTTTTGCTTTAAGTCTTCGTAAATCGACAAGAGATCTTCGGTGGAAAATTCTTCAGATACTTCATATTTCTTCAGTTTTCTGGTGACAGCACTCTGTCCCCTGTCCTAGTGGCCTTTAGCTTGTGTAGTTCCATTTCTTTAGTCACGGTATGGTCACGGCACCAAGATGTAATGAGTAATAGATAAACACATCTGTTCGGTACAAACACTTGATCTAAAACTGACCCAGTTATTTACATGGTAACAAAACAATACAAAATACACAAAGATGTCATCACTGTTATGACGTCATCACGATTATGATTATGCATTGCATAGAAATGCCTATATTTAGCCTTCTAATTTGCGTTCGTGTATAATAACGAAGTAGTCGTTATATACCTAACCTTGAGTGGGGAGGAGGGGGGGTGTTTGTGTGTCAGAACAATGACGTGAATGGGGGAGGGTGTTTGTGTGTCAGAACAATGACGTGAATGGGGGAGGGTGTTTGTGTGTCAGAACAATGACGTGATAATGCGTACTGGCCATAACATATCCTGGGTACCAAGTATGTTTTAGACAAAAAGTTTTAACTTTCTCTATAAAAGAAGAGTCCTTAGGAATTTTAACTAGTTTATTTGCATAGAAATGCCTATATTTAGCCTTCTAACTTGCGTTCGTGTATAATAACGAAGTAGTCGTTATATATCTAACCTTGAGATCATAACTATCGACCATTGTTCTGACACACAAACACCCCCCCCCCCACACACACACCCTCGCACACACACATCTATCTAGCTTTCTTTATATATATATATATATATATATATATATATATATATATATATATATATATATATATATATATATATATATATATATATATATATATATATATAAAATGTGTAAGTGTTTGTGGATATGTGTGTGTGTAGTCAGAGAGAGAGAGGGGGGGGGGACTCATTTTTTCTAATCTAAAGCATGCTGTATTAAGAATTCACAACCATCCACTTGCACTTAGATTAAGAAAAGGCGAAGTGACGTTTGTTTGTCTTATATTAAGATATCTGTGAATGGTGTTTACATCAATGCTCATCATGTCTAGAAAAGAGTTCTTCAAGTCAAATGACCAGTTCTCCAAGTAAGTGTTAAATAGGGTTTAAATACATCAAAAAGAGAATGCATATAGAGCAATTTTTCTTTTGAATTTGGATTTACTTTATTATAGGATTGGCCACACCCTAACTTGACATTTGAGATAAGGTTGACAGCGATGCATGTATCCAATCTCTGTAGGCCCTTTTCTTGATGATATGATATTAACATAGATAGTCCTTTATTAAATGTACCAAGCTCTCTTGAGAGTTTGCATAAATGTACAAAAAAATTATATGAATTGGGATATCAAATTTTACTGAATAATAAAAAAAATCAAATTTCTTTAAACTGTAAAATTCTTAAATAAAGCCAGGCCAAAAACATTTCTGAGAACCTTAAAATATGTAGAAAAACTTTGATTTAATATCAGTATAAAGTCAAAATTGACAACGCAAGATGGACTCGTTATTGAAAATACGTTCTTTGAGCGGTTTTTTACTTATACCAATCTTTTTTTTAATCTAAAATGAGTTTATTAACCAAAACTATCTTAGTTTTACATATTTTTAAAGATAAAAACCATTTCCCCATTACCACATAGGGAAGGTATGTGAGCATAGAGAGTTGTATCTTTTTTTCTACATATTTTATGGTTCTCAGAAATGTTTTGGGCGGGCTTTATTTAAGAATTTTACAGTTTAAAGAACTTTAATTTTTTTTTATTATTTAGTTCAACTTTGTTTTAAGGTTTAATCAAATTTATAAGTTGTTTTGTTAGCTTAATTCAAAAACGAGGAATTTGTTTGTGTTTTATTAAATGATGCGGTTTCCATGCAGACTTATTATGATATCAATGCTTTTTTTCAGCTTGTCCTCCCTGTCAAACCACATGTCCAACAATAAGCAATACTAGCGCCACACCTGAGACTAATACTAAAGGTACAGGTTCTAATTTGTCTTTTATGTATAGTGAAATGCCAAGACAAGTCGTAAGTTGAAGGATTTCTTATAAAGAACAGATAATTATGAATTAATTAACATATTTGTGTGGGTATACATATCATTTAACAAACAGGAAAAGTCAAACAAGACATCAAAACCGTGGATTTTTTTTTTTTTTTTTTTTTTTTTTTTTTTTTTTGTCAATTTCAATTTCCTCCAGTTTGAACATTTCAAGAAGAAAATAAAAAAAAATCTCCATCATAACCCGTGCTAAATGAGACCAAGAGCTCTAATTTAACAGTAATTACTAGAGAAAAAAACATGAAATTATGATCCACTAATTATTCTCCCGATCCAACAATTTTGATGGATTACAACATTGCTGCAATCAAATTTTAATCACATCTTCCGAATAACATTTGTAAAAGCAGCACATTCTTCAAGAAAAAAGTCAAATACTTTTTTTTCCATACAACATCATAGTCGAAAACAACATAGCAGCCAGAGTGTTTGAGTCCCGAGGGCTAATACAGGTTGTCACATGGGGATATGATTCGTTATATCTACTACTCACTTAGTAATAACATACGAATATTGTTGTTAATATATTTAAACGTTTAACACACGGAAGGTAAGGTTTATGACTAATTTGATAGATTTTATTAATATTTAAATACAGTCATTAAAATCAACTCTATTTAATTTAAATAATATTTTTTTTGGCACATTTTGACAGAAATAAAACATAAATGTACTTACATGGACTGAGAAATACACTCTTTTCACAAAGTTAATTGTGACGATATGATAATTTTATCAGGGCCAAAGCATTAGGGTTTCCTACACTTAACCAATGCTTGACTCATTCATGATGGGTAATGATACTTGCAGCTATATTGATGTCAAACATTTCGTATACGCGAAAACTGTATTTTTTTTTAATATGTAATGATTTCTAATAATTGGTTTTTAAGAAATGATTTATCTATAAAATGTAGGTTTCTCAGCTGCAGTTGTTGTCGGCGTTTTGGTCGGTGGAGTGTTGCTTGGATCTGCCATTACAGCCTTTGCTTTTATTTGTCTTTGGAAAAGAGCAAAGAAAGAACAAACGTACTGCATTTTACATATTATTGTCTCACTTACTGCTACTTAAGAAGTAGACATTGTTTTAGAGAACATGGTATTATGAACAACATTTGCTCTGCTGACATACTGCACGATACCCATTAAAGATTTTAATTAAAACTACATTTATTTTCAATCTGACAATCTTTTATTCATATACTTTTCAACATGTAACAACAAAAAGTTTCTAACATGCGAGTGTGAGAAACAAATTGCACTGATATATATATATGGTGAGAGGAGCTGCGTTCATAGTGAAATGAATGCAATTAGTAAATGTAGATTGATAGAGAGACAGAGCAGAAAATTTGCTATGTATTGGTACATTCGTTTGTGTATACTATAAATTCCATGCTTATATTTATATCTTCATAAGTGACCTTTGGCTTTAAAGATAAACTGTGTTGAATTCTCTGTTCAAGGAAAGACAACTTTCCCAAGAGTTGTACATGTAACCAAAACCCAGCGTACGAGAGTGGGGACTTTGATCAATTGAATAGAAGAAACAAAATGGTAAAATATAAAACTTTGTTTTATGCTTTTGACTTTAATCACAATTATTCTAATGTCAGATTTGAAGTAAGATTAAACATACCAACTGAATATAAAACTAAGTAAAGTTTTAAAGTGTTATATATATATATTGCTCAGCTGATAATTCAATAGTGCCATCATTAATGTCCATATTAAAAGAACTATCCCTGGCAAAGGAAAATTAGTATTTCAGAGGAAAATATATTTATGAAATAACTAATTCTCAAATCAAGATTCCCTTTCATTTAAAACAGTCCATAATAATATCATAATATTTTTAAGAGCTAGCTCTAAGCAAATCACAAAAAATATAAATTTTCATAAAATTTTACACACGTCTATCTCTTCACTACATACGTGCATATGATATAAAGATTCAATATTTTAGCCAAAAACTACAAAGGTATCACATGTGAATCCCATCCAAAGAGAGCAGAATATTTCTACATCTCAATCTACAGGAGATTGTGTATATAACCACTTGAATGAAACAGCTACAATAGATAGAGATGACTTCTACGATCATGCGAGACCACCCTCCTCGACGTCAACACATTGTGAGGGGTACGGGACCTTGGTGTTTAACAATGAGGAAAAAGATGTCTACGTGGAGGGAGATGATAACAAGGGAGCAGGGTCTAATGTTGGAAAAGGAAATGAAAACGAACACACTGTCCATAATTACTTTGTACTTGAAAAAGAAACAAGATAAAACTTTTGATACTTACCGAACAGAAGGCGTTTCTTAAAATAAACGTTTTTTGTTTTTTGTTTTGTTTTGTTTATTTTTTAACATTTGTTCTTTCATTAATATACTTGTATTCATTTTTATTCTGATTCTGTTATTTTTAATATTGATTTAATATGTTGATTGTTCTATTATTATTGAGACAGTGCTAAGGAATTACTTTTAAACGGCTTTATTTCTTTATTTTGTTAAGCGGATGTACTTATTATTTTTTTAAACGGATATCTTTGTTTAGCAAATAGCTGTAAGTATTACAGATTAGACTTTGTGCACACCCGCAAATAAAATCATAAGAGAAAATACATTAAGTGTTTGTACTAGAGGAAGACGATTGAAGTCAGTACCTTGTAAGTGCTATGCCGTACCCTATCATTTGAAAAGAAGATATTGTTTACGTTTACTTGGAAGCAACTGGCTACTCAGAAGGTGGATGCAGTATAGGGAATATATATATATATATATATATATATATATATATATATATATATATATATATATATATATATATATATATATATATATATATTTATATTTATATATAGATAGATAGATAGATAGATAGATAGATAGATAGATAGATAGATAGATAGATAGATAGATAGATACTTTGGTTCTTGAAAAAAAAAACAGCATGATTATTAACATTTACAGATTTTACATAATTTAAGATTTTAACAGATTTATAGATTGGATGAATAATTGTTAGTAGGTTAAGTTCTTTGCAAGATTATTTTACTCACATAAGACGTCACCAGATACTGTGAATCCTTGAATTTTAGAGTTTTACTCGGCACTCAATGTCATTGAAACGTTTGGGTCCTTAGGTGGGCCAGCGTCTGTCGTGACACCTACACTTTTTAAAAAAAACCACTTCAAAGTACAGAGTGCTTGACAAAGAAACAGTTGTTACCTATTTATTTATCGGTTTATTGCGACGGGGGCGCAAACCCATGACAATATACTAGTACTTTCTTTCGATTCCGTTCTTTGACTTGCTAGTAGTGAATTGAAAAAAAATGTAACAAAGTAGTCAAAAGTAAAATGCATTTACTGAATTTGTACCAATGGGTTTATGTCATGTAACTATTCATGGATCATTTACTACATTCATAAATGTATGTTATATGTTTGTTTTTGAAACCGTATTTTGATATTGTAAGCAAAATGTTTGGTATGTAATTGTGGGAAAAGGAAGATTTCTAATTCTAATTGTATGAAAGATTCAGTATGTATGCTTTTTACGGTTCAGGTTGTTTTATCCAGTTTTTTAAATCCTCGAACATAGTTCATGAAGAAAAAAAATATGCTTGTCATTTGACTTATTCCCTTAGATACGGAAACCTTTGTGAACAAATAAGCCCCTCGCCATTCTCCTCTCACCTTCACGCGGATAATTTGTAAATTTTGAAAAAAACAAAACACATTATATATATATATATATATATATATATATATATATATATATATATATATATATATATATATATATATATATATATATATATATATATATATATATATATATATATATATATATAATTAAATTTTAGAGAGACATGCACAAGTATTGAAAAATTAATTAATAAGGACATACAAAGCAAGTACATTACATAGAGAGAAGTTCTCATTGTATTGTTTTTTGTTTTTTGTTTTTTTTGGTTTTTTTTTTTTTTTTTTTTGGTTTTTTTTTTTTTTTTTTTTGGTTTTTTTTTTTCAAATGAATTTATGCAAAGACACACATATTATGTGAATTCAAGGTATTGCTAAAGAAATATATACTCAATGTTTTCATCTTGTATGTTTTATACTGTGCTACAGATGACATAAGCAAATGATCTTAAGCGAGTAAACGGGGTTTGAAAAACAGATTTCCTACTTTGTTTCAAATTTTTAACGTTTCCATACAAACCAGGTGATATTCAATGTTGATCAAAGGTATAAGTTAATACAATTCTAGCTATATATTACTTAAGCGTTTTAGTGATTTCATGAAGATTTCCAAATTCAACGGGTATAACAATACATGCGGGGTGTATACTCTGCTGTGAACAGGGTGTATCCTCTAAACAATGTGATGTGTTTCTGTCTAGTTCTGCGCTTTTTTTTTTATCTACATAACGCTATATATTGCTGGAAAACATATGTATTGGGAAGTAGCATTAAGACCGCAGAAAATTAACTGACAAAATTGATTATATGCAGCTTATGTCATTTCCCTCTCTTACGGTCAAAACATTTAATAATAGACGATGAAATTGGCGGATACAATTCGACGCGGACGTCTGAGAAAACATTGGATTGAACTTTTTTATTTGAAATTCATTTTCCATCTATCTAAGCTATTTTCATACGCAAAGTTATTATGTATGAATCAGAAGACAAAAAAATTGAATTCACAAATGCGTCATGTATTATACGAATTTTTAGCCAATAATTTGAAGGATACGAAAAAGACATATATATAAAGAATTTTTCCGTCGACAGTCGATGTTCCCTGTTTATCGGTAAAACACTTCTAGTCAGCCAAGCTTCATTTAATTTCTGTATCTGTTAATTAAATTTTTTTAAATGCTGATAAATTAATAATGAGTACATATTCTTTATCACTCTAAATAACAACCCATATCATATGTATACAATATAATATAAATATTTAACAATTTTCTTCTACCAAAAACATATTATGCGCATTCCAATTCATCTTTTATTTCTTTCACTAATGAAGTAATATGTCCAGGACGTTTAAGATGATTGAAGTTCTTTTCATTCAATAAAATATATCAATTATTAAGATTCTTTATACAATTATAGAATAATGGAAATAATATGCAATCAAATTGCCTAATATTCATATCTCATTTTGGAAGCTATTTTGTCACCTCAACGTGTTTACAATTGATTAAATACGGGGGAAAATAAACATTTGGGAAGTCATTTTGTCTGTTCAAACGTATTAATACATATAATTGATAAAATACAAAGGAAAAATAATCAAACACATTACCTTAAACTGAAGACTCAGCTGTATGAGTTTTAAACAACAGTACCTATGACAAACACTGACATACTCGGTATGTTTTCTCTTTGGAGAAGTATGCATGATTTTGCAAAACATGCACTTAAGATAGTATATATAATTATTGCTCCCGCTGTTATTGTTGTTTATATATACGGATAAAGCTTTTGTCTGTTTAATAACTAATAAACCGCCCGTTCCTGTATTGGCATTACTGACAGTTTATCTAGACAATTTGTTTTTTTTTTTATTTAAAAAAAAAAAACACTTTTATTACCTTATTTGTATGAATTTGTATGAAGAAATCGTTAGAAAAACATCAAAATTTCGAGGGCTTCTGTGTAGAGATAATTACGCTCTATAATGGCAGCGACCCTCCAGCCCTGTGTAAGTCAACATTTCCAAACTCTATTGTCAATACAATGGCCATGTTTGCAAAACCTATCTGTCGTAGGTCAAATGTTGCCTGTCATTTTTCAAACAAAATAATAACTTTACGTTAATATTCCCATTTCATCCAAGCAACCAAATTAAATTCGAATTGGATTCCAAAACTTCATAGAAATCATGACAAGGATACCTGCGGTTTCTAGTAAATCCTACCAAGCCTCTCTCTCTCTTCTCCTCACGAAAAGAATAATACCAACAGCAGGAAACACAATTAAAATACTGTACAACTTTTAAGAAATTTCAAATTAAGAAAATATACTTAAGTCAATAGCATTAAAGCATACAACTTTTCAACATTTTATATCGCAATTCCCCACAAGAAATCAAAATAGACAATGTTTTTGCAATACAAAATGGAACACTTAAAATTACATACCATATTAAAAATAATCTGCTTCTACACTCAATACCCAGACGTTGATAATAAAAGATGCTTGACTTTCTGATTGACAATATCTCTACAATGTTTGGATGCAAGGTCTTTGAACAATCTGTTGGAAACCCATTGGGTCTAATTGTACCCTGCTCCACATGTTATGAAAGAGAATTTATTCAAAATCTTCTACATCAATTGAAGAAGTTGTATGACGTTGCCATCATTCTCTTGCTAAGGCATGGCAACGCACTTTGAAAAATTATGCACTTTGAAAATCTTTTTTTTTTTTCAAAGTGCGTTAAATTAGGGACAAAATCAACGCACTTTGAAAAATTTTGTTCAAAGTGCTTTAAGATTATACATCAACATTTTTTTTATGGAGACACTTAACGCACTTTGAAAAAATATGTATAAAACAAAAATTCTGAAGTTAGATTTTGGTAATAGACAGCATTATTGTGTTGTATTTCTTTCGAAAACCTGACGAATTGATCTATCCTCATCGAGAACGAGGAAATGACAGGTACATGTAGCAGGTCCCTCAGCCCAACTCTTTATCTTTCCTACACAAATATGTGTATTTACATAACTGGTATGACATTGATATACATTCTCTCGATCAATTTGAGTTAATGTAAAATAGATTTTAAAAAATGAGATAAACTATCCTGAAAAAATTAACACACCCTATTATATTAATGAAGAGAGTCTCAGGGGCCATATGGCTGATCTAAGCAACAATAGCCAACTGACTACTTTGGCCAAAGTAGCTTTACAAAATTTAAAAAAAAATCAAATTAAAAAGAAAAGTCGAGTGAGTAATGTGACTAAGGTTTTTTTTTTATTATGAAGTAAATGAGTCAATCATTGTTTCATATATCTTCACAATAGATGGATAGAAAGATGAATATGATTGATTGCATGATAGATAGATAGATTAGATAGAGAGAAAGAAAAAGATATAATTTTCATGGTATGGAAAAATAAAAATTGCTCCTGTGAAAAATGCAATGCTTTAAGTCTATTATCGACACCTAAATCTAGCGAACTTATTATAGATGGACAAAATACAAAAAAATAAGATTGTGTTATTAAACAATCATTCCTCCATTATTTCTAAAT